TGATGTTGCCGATGGCAACCTTTTTGATAGTTTTTATGTTTTTTATATGTATTTGAATTTTATATTTTGACGTTCTGTTTTTATATACTATTTGTTTTCTTATGCCATATTGTCTTTATATTTTTGCTAGCGAGCTGATTACACCTATTTTACCTCACCTAAGAACGTGTCTCATTTTTAACCAGCCTTAATACAGTCCATACCATTCCACGTTTAGAACTTCAAAGTGCACTGATTGCAGCTCGTCTTGCGCGTACGATATGTTCGGTACATGCGTTTAAACCTAATATTAGGGTTTTCTGGACGGATGCTCGTAATGTACTTGGTTGGATTCGTAATGACGCTCGAAAATATCAAACCTTTGTTTCTGTTCGTTTGGGGGAAATCCATGAACTTTCAGACATATCCAAATGGCGCTGGGTATCTACAAGCTTAAACGTAGCAGATGACGCGACTCGTTCGATACCCAGCGACCTTACTGAAAAAAGTAGATGGATCAACGGTCCTGAGTTCTTGCGGTCTTCTCCAAATAACTGGCCTCTCGAACCATCCATCTCAACTCTCCCATGTATAGAGGAGTTGAAACCATCTTATAAATTATCACACTACATAAATGTCACCGACATCTTTTCACCTATCGCCTATTTAGCCTCTCCTACACATTTTAGTAGTTACCTTAGATTACTTAGATCTACTGCCCGTTCACACCAATTTATCACTCTTCTCATCAACAGGTACAATGTTGCGAATAGAAGGGCACAACTGATGGGCAATCGCACCCAACCTGCGAGGTCGTCAGCTTCAAGCAGCGTGATACACTTACCTCCTTTAACGACTGAAGAGATACAACGGGCGGAGAATCACATCCTACGTCAGAGTCAGGTATCTTCCTTTACCGAAGAGCTAGCAGCAATCCGCTGTGGCTTGCCAGTACCTCGAGGTAGTAGAATAGGTAATATCGACATATTTCTTGGAGAAGGAGAACTTTTACGACTGCAAGGGAGAATAGATGTAGTAGAGAATGTCAGCAATGACACAAAATGTCCGATCCTCCTTGATGGTAAAGACTATGCGGTAAGATTATTGGTACTTCATTATCATCAAAAAGCTGCACATGCGCAGCATGATACTGTAGTTAATGAGTTGCGTCAGTCATACTGGATTTTGAAACTCAGATCAACGGTCAGAGCTGTTATTAATTCGTGTCAGATCTGCCGTATAAAGAAAGCAACACCAATTAGTACACCAGTTGGAAACTTACCAGAAATAAGACTTGCTCATCACAAGAGACCGTTTTCTTACGTGGGTTTAGACTACTTCGGCCCTCTCTGGGTATCCGTATGTCGACACGTTGAGAAGCGTTATTGTGCACTTTACACTTGCTTAACTACTCGTGCTATACACCTTGAAGTAGTACATAGTTTGTCGACTGATTCTGCAATTCTGAGCCTCCGTCGTTTTATTGCAAGAAGAGGGACCCCACTAGAAATTATCTCTGATAATGGGACATCCTTTGTGGGTGCTGCGAGGACATTGAGGGAGCTGTACGGTTCGAGTGTTTTAAATACCGCAGCCAATTCCAACATTCGTTGGCGTTTTATTCCACCAGCAGCACCGTTTATGGGAGGCGCTTGGGAACGCCTAGTTAGATGCGTGAAGTGCGCCCTGAAGTCATCACTACAAGATCGACGAGTTTCTGATGAGATGCTGATAACTCTCCTTATAGAGGCAGAAGCCTTAGTCAACTCACGTCCCTTGACACATATCTCTGATCAACCAGGCTCAGAAGAAGCATTAACACCAATGCACTTTCTCTTGGGTACATCATCAGGAGCGCAACCTACACTGACAACACAATTCTCTGATAGAGACCTGGTGGGAAGACAGCAGTGGAGAAAGATACAGCGACTTACCGATCATTTTTGGATGCGTTGGCTTAAAGAATACCTGCCGAATTTAATACCAAAATCAAGGACTGATAGAAATTCTAGTCCCCTACGCGTCGGAGATCTGGTCCTAATTTTAGAGAGTAACCTTCCTCGAGGTAGCTGGCTTAGAGGCAGAGTTTCGGCGGTCCATCCTGGCTACGATGGGGGTGTACGTGTCGTCGACGTTCAAACGGCTGGCGGAACACTACGTCGAGCTTCTAAGAGGCTGGTGCGGTTGCCCATCAGCTAAATTGGGGAGGATGTTGCCGATGGCAACCTTTTTGATAGTTTTTATGTTTTTTATATGTATTTGAATTTTATATTTTGACGTTCTGTTTTTATATACTATTTGTTTTCTTATGCCATATTGTCTTTATATTTTTGCTAGCGAGCTGATTACACCTATTTTACCTCACCTAAGAACGTGTCTCATTTTTAACCAGCCTTAATACAGTCCATCCTTCCTTCCGTAACAGATAATATGTTTTACTTTAAACATAATATTTTATATATCGATCGATTCTAAACATATACTTAGATTTGAATTAAAGTATTATCAATCATCATGCCAAATACAATATTGTAACAAACTGATATTCTAAAACATCCATTAGAAATATCACACATCTAAAATGCAGTACGAGTTTAATAGTTTTCAGATCAAACGAGAAGGTATCGCTACGAAACGCTGGCGAACAGGGCCGGATTATATTCTATACTATTGGGTATCCAGAGTAAATTTTGGTATCAAGATTTATAATCCACATATTAGTAGATATAATTACGTGCATATTATAGCGATATATGCAAAGTTAAATCATAATCATCATCATTCTTCACAATTAACGATGGTGAAGAATAAATTTATCAGAACTTTTTATTTTTAATTTTGTTTTTAATAAAAAGATAATAGAAGGAGAGAGGGGAAGGGGAAGATCAAGACATATATCAAGAAGATGAAGGAAAAAGTTGGAGTTATGTCGTATCAATAACTAAAGAGATTGATGGAAATTTGGTGGAAAATGGCAAGAGCTCCACTGACAAGGTCTTAAATTATAAATGAATTACTTCATGGATACAATGTATTATTAGTTACAAAAAACAATCATTGTATTCCAACGCGGCACATCGAGGCAGCGTACCCAAGATACTGGCAGCGTTGCCTCTTTGAATGGCCATACTTAGCCTTTGGGCAAAATAGCTACCAGCTCTCGGGTCACAAGTAACCTCGATGAGCCGCGCTGAAATATATGTTAAAAACAATTTGGCTTCCGGGCTCCATGGGCCCAACGTCTCCACGGCAAATGGTAAAAACAAATATGCCCCTCCAGATTCGTATATTTTTTAAAATTGCCGCCTGTGTTACTGCCATGCCAGGACTAGAGGACGATCCAGACACATGACTTGGTGCCAATGTATCCACACACGTGGCATCCCATACTAAACATTTTCCGAGTTTCCACGGGACCAGGGTCATATCATCAGGCTGTTTCTCGTCTTCGCGGATAATGCCACTAGGCTCTAGTACTGCCGGTATTTATGCCGTCGCCAATGCTCTATGTATAATAGTGTTGATCATGGCATGACGAGGTATTGGACCAGCACTTCTCATACAAGAGAGACCATGGTGTCCTAATTCATCAACAGTAGCACCACAGTTACAGCGATGAGGCTGATTTAGTTTAGCACCCAGCCGCAAACCTACCGCCAGTATGAGGGTACAATTATTTTGTTACTGTAATAAAAGGTTAGTAATCAAGATACAAGTACTTTATTCATTTACTAATTATATAACAAACCATTAACGTATTTTTATACTATGTATTTTCTTTTATTGGCTGATTTGATGATTATATGAAGGAGTATTTATATTTATTATCGAATAGGAACTCTATATTATGACGACAGTCTCTCTTTACATTGGGGCCCTGATAGTCGATACTAACAATTTTCTATCCGATAACCCGGCCCTGTTTTCGAGGAATTGATATAAATCGCCCAAGTTCAATTCATCTTCTTTAAGTCCATCGACCGTGCGTGGGTAATGCCCGAATGACATCTATCTTTATCCGGTTCGGAACAAATAAATATTTAAATTTAATGACGCCTAGCGAATGTCCGAACGAAATAGACTGTCTTTGTGTCTTTAGATATCCGCTAATTGAAATTCTTAGCACAATGGGTGGCATTTAGCATAATCAATACGTGATCGTGGATTCTAAACCTAATTATTATAGATAGATTAATAGTCTAATTAGATTTAGACTAAAAATAAATATTATAATTGATTCATTAAATATTAATATGAAAATTAAGTATAGTATTTATATTAATAAAGCACGTGAATGAATCATCCTTCATGCTATGATTAATGGTAGGGTTAGTATTTTAAGGGCTTCTTGATCGAATTACACTTATTAAAACTTCTTCTGCTCACCCCAAAAATAAATAAAGTTTAAACTATGTATTACTGAGACTATATATTATATGAGGTTAATTAAATAAACTATTGCTTTTTAAAATATTATTAAGGTTAATTCAAAAATATCCAACAAATTATTAGCTTCCAATAAGATTATAGCTGATATGTATTTGATGTATTTTTTAGCCACACTGCAGTGATCGTAGGAAAAGGGAAATTAAGGAACTCACCCAAATTGCACAAATTATAATATTGATGATATGCGTCGGCGACTTGAAGCACTTGAAGTTTTCAATTACAATACACCACACTCGCGACACAAATACAGTTTGTTATAATATTTAAGGAGCTCCTTGATTAATTAAAATTGATGCATGCGGTGGTTGTTTCACTTGTTAGATGGCGGCGAATAATGAATTGTCCATATTGTGCCGGGGAAAGGGGGGCGGGAAAAAGCAGTGTGGCGGCTTACCAACCTATTATTATTATTTTTTTTTTTTATGGATTTAGAAGACGCGCGAACATTCTCCCGGCCTTGAGAATACGTAGTATTTTCAATAAGAGATAGAAAAATAACGGAATGAAATTAAATGATACTATACTAATATTTATATGTTGTTTATTAACTATGGAATTTTTGTTAAGTTGGGTTATTGAGACGGTAAAGAACAAAGTTTTACAACGGGGCGTTTGTACGAACCACTACATGTTTTTACTAGCACGACACGTACTTTGCCGTCTGATCCAGGATATGTTTCAGTAATAACGCCCAAGGGCCAACGTAACGGAGGTACATCATCTTGATGCACTAATACTACAGTACCGGGTTTTACATTCTCATTATTAACAAGCCACTTCTGTCGCACTTGTAAATTATTAAGATATTCTAAACGCCACCTTTTCCAATAGCTTCTAACCATGTGATCAAGTAGCTGTTTACGTTGTCTAATACTTCGAGTATCTTCGGATACGCGTTCAATTGGCAAGTACGAAAGAGGAGATGCCATAATGAAATGCGCAGGAGTTAGTGGTTCTGGAAATGGCTCCTCAGTGAGTACACAAAGAGGCCTTGAATTTAAAATTGTCTCAATTTGCGTTAATACTGTTAATAGTTCTTCGTACGTGAGTAATTGAGAACCGATAGTACGAAATAGATGATTCTTTATATTTTTGATATTTGATTCCCACGCACCTCCAAAGTGAGGTGCGCGGGGAGGGATCATATGCCATTCGATACGATGGCTAAGTACTAAAGTTTGAAGTTGAGCCTTTGCTCCAACAAAATTTGTTCCATTATCGGAATAAAGATATGAAACAGGTCCGCGTCGAGATATGAAGCGTTTAAAAGCAGAAATAAAGACATCGGACGATAGGTCTGTGGCTAACTCAATGTGTACAGCCTTTGTTACTAGACAAATGAATAAACAAATGTATGCCTTTTGAGATCTTTGGCCGCGACGCCTACATAGAGTTATACTTATAGGTCCAGCGTAATCCACACCGGTATGCACAAAAGCTTTCGTTTCACGCACGCGGTACGAAGGTAAATCTGCCATTTTTGGCGCCTTACTAGATGGAGAAGCTTTAAAGCATTTGTTACAAGAGTGAACTCTTTGTTTAATTACACTTCTAGCTGATAAAATCCAATATTTTTGGCGTAACAATGAAGTTAATAATGACGCACCAGTGTGACAGTGCACGTGGTGATAATAATCTATAATCAAATGAGTAATATGATCGTGTTTAGGTAACAATGCAGGATGCTGAGCTTCAAAGGGTAAGTTACTATTAGATAATCTTCCTCCTACTCTTATAAGTCCATTATCATCAATAAATGGATCCAGTTTACGAAATTGAGAAGAAGGTAAATTGTTTTTCTTTAAATCATAAAAAAGCGATTGAAAATATAACTTTTGCACTTCACGAATAAGATACATTTCTGATACATTAATATGGGAAGACATGACGCGGGGGCTACTTGGTATTAATTTTACAAATTTAAGAATATACGAAATAATACGTAATATTTTATTCCAGGAGGAGAACTTCAGCGCCATTTGGTATATTATAGAAGCGGGAGTAGACGTCGTACAGGTAAGTGTTTTATTTTTTATTTCAGGTAACTGTTCACATGCTACAGATTTGAATGGTGATACTGGCCATTCGGCGACGGGTCGCTGTAACCAAGCCCATAATGAGTGACATATCAACTGATCAGGTAATAAACCTCTAGACAGGCAATCACTAGGATTCTCTGTCGTATTTACGTAATAGAAATGACAAGGGTCTAGATTTTCTTGACATTTAGCGATGCGGTTACTTACAAAAATGTTCCATCTGTGTGGTGATGAATTAATCCACGAAAGTGCTATTTTTGAATCGGAAAATGCATACGTATTATTAATATTAATGCGTGTACGATACGTTTCTGACACTAATTTTACCAATTTTGACATTAATACAGCGGCACATAATTCCAGCCTAGCAAGAGTTACAATTTTGATGGGCGCGACTTTAGATTTAGCGCATACTAAAGCAACGTGCACAATGCCTGCAGCATCTGTGACGTGTAGGTATACTACGCAACCGTACGCCTTCATACTGGCGTCCGCGAAAGCGACTATATTAGTACTACAACCATTTTCTACCTTTACATGTCTAGGAATTTTTAAAGAAGAGAGATGAGGTAATTGCTGTTTAAAATTAAGAAAATGGTTTTGTATGTCTATTGGTGGTGAGTCATCCCATCCAATCCGTTGGACCCACAGGTCCTTTATTAAAAGTTTAGCAAAAAGGATAACGGGCGCAGCGAATCCCAGAACGTCCCATAAGCGAGCAATAGCGGAAAGGATAGTACGTTTAGTACATTTGTTGTCCAAGGGACATGTTGAAAAAGTAAATTCGTCTTCTAAGGGAAGCCATTTTAACCCGAGTATTTTTAAATTATCATCATTTACAAAATTAATAGCGGCGCGTTTACATTCAGGTACCGTAGATAGTAGTTCTACAGAGTTACTAGCCCATTTAGTAAGATGGAAACCCCTTTTTTAAATAAGTCAATGAGTTCACGTGACAACGCCACCCCCTCCTCGAGCGTCGGAACGGAGGTAGCTAAATCATCAGTATACAGTTCATGAGTAGCTATATCTGCTGCTCGCGGATGCACTCCTTCTCGTCCTCCGCCAACTGCCTGACAGTACGCATGGCTAGGAACGGGCTGCATCTGAGACCGAATGCGACTCGATTAAATTGAAACTCGCGAATGGGTTCTGTAGAATTAAAACGGTACAATATTTTTTGATATTTTCTATGTTCTTGTTTTACCTCAATTCTTAAATACATTTGTTTAATGTCTGCGGTTAGTGCAATGGGAAATAAGCGAAAATTTAATAAGAGAATGAATATATCTGCCTGTAAATTGGGTCCCGTATGTAATACGTCATTTAAGGATATATTATTATGACATTTAGCGCTTGCGTCGAGAACTACGCGTACTTTCGTGGTAGTTTTATCGTTCCTAATGACGGGGTGATGTGGTATGTAATACCCTTTACCGTATTCGTTACTGGTGGGTGGAACCTCGGACAGGTAATCGTTACGGAGATAATCTTGTATGATTTCATTATAACTGACACGAAGACTTGGATCTTTTAATTTACGTTCCAGTGAGAATAAGCGGCGAGTAGCTACAGAACGAGAATCACCCAATATAGCTGGATCCCTAGAAAATGGGAGCGCGGTACAATATTTACCTGAGGAATCACGTGACACTGTGTCACAGTATAACTGTTCACACTCAATTACTTCCGGACTCATGAATTTATTTGAAGGAATTTCTTCAAGTTCCCAGAATTTGCATAATGTTTTATCTAAGTAATCATTTTCGTTATCATGTTCGGAATATACAAGAAATGTTGAAGAAGCGGGTTTCGTATTGGAGTCAACGACTGAAGGTGTGTCTCCCATTAAAATGTATCCAAATACGGTTTCCAGAGCGGCTGGCGCGGGAGGTGCAATAATTTTACCACCTAATAGTAAATATGGGAATAATTGAGCCCCAATTACAAGCTCAATCTGTCCAGGCGTATGCCAGAGTGGATCAGCAAGCGGTATATTTAATAAATTATCAATAATCGTCATATCTACTAAACCGGAAGGCATGTTATCCGTTATGACATCGACGACAAGCGCATCAATAGTATATGTATATAAATTATCTCTCGAAGAAATACAGAGCGGAACCCAACCGCGAACGGTTTGCGAAGCGGACCCTATACCTTTAATAGTAGAATGCGTGTTAAGTGCAATTGGTTTTAAATTAAGCCGTTTACAACAAGCAGTTGTCACTATATGATTTTGTGACGCGTTATCAATAAGGCATCTAATATTCGATCTTTGTTTATAGTAATTTAAGACAGTTACTTGCGCCGTGCTAAGCAATATTGTATTGTTGTTATTAATAACATGCGCGCGAGCACACAATAATACCTGACTCGCTGGGGTCAGCTGTGCCGCGACTTGAGCGGTTTGTGCCCTCGCCCCTCCCCCGCCGCCGGCGGTGGCGGCGGCGTCGGGCAATTGCATGAGGTTAGAGCAGGCACGTCAACAGAATTGACGGTTGACGCGGTGACTAATGCGTGCGAGCAGGACGGCGGCGCGGAGGATTTTCGATTATTATTAAATTTATTGTTTACAATATTATTATTATGTAATAATGTGTGATGTTGTTTATTACACATTTTACAATGCTGCGATGAATTACAACGCGATACAGTATGTGACATGCTCAAGCAATTTATACATGCACGTTTATTTTTAATAAAATCGAAACGTTGTTCGGTTGGAAGCGATTTGAAAAAGGAACATTGATATAATTGCAAGTGATCACCACTATTGCATATTGAACAACATTCATTATTGTCGTGGGATAGCAAAGCTTTCGAGTTGTGGACTGTATTATTACGCGGGCTAGCTACGATAGGAAAAACCGTAGGACGGGTGCTAGTACGATCTAATATTTTTACTTGACTTTTAATAAAATCTACAAACTCCGAATAAGTAGGAATATCTTTATCTCTAATTGACATTTCGAATGCGTGTGCTGTTACAGAATCTATTTTTCTTAAGGCAATCGTTAATAATATGAAATCTTTAAGATCACCAATTTTTAATTGTTCTAAGGCTGACACTGCGGCGTTGAAGGATTCGATAAAAGAATTAAGCGAAACAGAATTATTAATAGCGGGTTTAATATTCAATAAAATGGACATATAATGAGAGCCTAATGCTCGTTGGTCTTGGTACTTATCAACTAAACTTTGCCAAATGCTGGCGTAGTTTTCTCCGGCTGGTACTATCCCAGTCGTTAGTCTTAAAGCGGGGCCTGACAATTTACCTATCAGATAATGTATCTTTTGGGAATCAGATAAACTTTTATTATCGTGGATATTAGCTTTAAAACATTCATAGAAGCTTGGCCAGGAATCCAATCGGCCATCAAATGATTTAAGATCAATAGGTGGAAGGGGTATAGTAGACCTGACATCCTGGGTTTGCATACGAGAACTCTGCGACTGCGATTGCATTAACTGAGAACGAACTCTCTGAATGCGTGTGTAAATATCTTCAAACGCATTAAGTTGGGAATAGTTGGGTACATACGAAGAATCATCATCAATTTTGTATTGATTTATCATATCTAAATTAGCAATAAATTCATCACGAATTACTGACAATGTCTCCGTATCCGCCATGAACGCCTCCGTAGAACGAAGTTCGGGACTGGAAATATTAATCTTTTTTGCGCAATCATGCAGCCTATTTATACGTTGAAAAGTGCAATTAATTTTAGCAACTAAAACAGTGACCTTAGAACTCATTTTTAAAGATGGCGAATAGCTTTATTTAATTATAAATTAATTGAAGGGCTGTTATACTCAATAACTAAATTACCTATGTAAATAATAGGTACACAGGTGCGGCTTGTTACTATGCAATATAGAACATCGATATCTATTCGTATTACACAAATAACACGTTATTTGAGTTAAATAAGTATAGTTTTAAAAATAATGCGAATGTAGACATGAAATAAGTTTGTAAATAATTAAATTATATTTACGCGGTTGTACGAAGTTTGTGTATTTTAAGCGGTTTGATATTACGATGTTTCGTATTAAGCGATTATACGAATAGCAGTAGAAATGTATTATTATAGCGGTAGCGAATAGAAAAAAAAAATTGAATATCACGATCACGTGCAATTAGCGATAGGTTTCAAAATGGCGAATGCCGTGCGCTAGCGACGACAATTGTTTTGAACGCGTTTGTAGGTTTTTAATGCTAATACAATGCGATGAAGGAATATATATATAGAAAAACGCGTTCTGGATCAGTTTTACAGGAATCCGGTTCGATTGGTACCATAAAATGATGTATTTTTTAGCCACACTGCAGTGATCGTAGGAAAAGGGAAATTAAGGAACTCACCCAAATTGCACAAATTATAATATTGATGATATGCGTCGGCGACTTGAAGCACTTGAAGTTTTCAATT